ACCAATTGTCCGAAAGACCAATATTGTGAGATTGGTAAAGAGGTTGTGCCGTAAGATACACAGCAGATTGCCAGATACAATTTGGTGTGACATTGCCGGTAATAATTGCCTTTGTATTGCATTCGTCGTGCAATGCGAACATGCACGACGTACGCATCAGTGGGGAGACGAGGTAGCAGCGACACTTTCGTGTCAACGGAAATAGTCACATTAACAATCCCTCCTTTACAGCGGTACTGCCCAGAAGGACCATGAGATGGCCAGATTGTTTGGAAGATGTGGCGAGCATCTGCTAGTCTTTCTTCCAGCCTTGTCAGAATTCGCAGCCTCTGGTCCACAGCAGGAAAATGCAACCCATTTGAAAGGCAGTGGCGGGGTTGCTTCCAGCATTTAATGCTCTGTGCGCAGGTTTTGCAGAAGAAACATTCCTCGACCTGCTCTAGATAAAATACATTCCTTATAAGACTCCTTTGGGCCTCACTTGCACCGCATGCTTGCAGCAGATGTGACATTTTGTGTGCTGTCACAGAACGTTTGAACTCTAATCTACCACAGCAGTTGCAAGTATATGTTGACCCTTCTCTGACTGCATTTTCGTATGCTTCAACGCCTGATGAGTAAGTCAAGCTTCTCCGTTGCTGCCTTGCTTTCCGATCCCTAATGCGCTCCTGCTCACGCATTTTCCTGACACTTCCTCGGTGCTGCATTCGCATGGCATTCTCTTGACGCTCCGCTTCCCTTTCATCAGCAGATGCACACTCCTGCGTGTTCTTATTGATTCTGAATTTATTGCCCTTTCGTTTTCTCTGTATTGTTGGTATGTCTCCCGACGTTGTCGCATAGCTTCCGCGTTCGCAGTCCTTTCTCTTTCCCGGAATTCGAAGTCCGCTGCACGTCGTTGCTGCCTTGCCTCAGCATTTGTAAATCTTTCCAGCTCTCGATAGTCTTTTTCTCGACGCTGTCGCATCGCTTCAGCATTTGCAGCCCTCTCTCTTTCCCGGAAATCGACATCTGCCGCGCGCCGTTGTTGCCTTGCCTCAGCATCTGCAACTCTTTCCATTCCTCGATACTCTGTTTCTCGACGCCGTCGCATCGCTTCAGCATTTGCAGTCCTCTCTTTCCCGGAAATCGACATCTGCCGCTCGGCGTTGTTGCCTTGCCTCACCATCTGCAACTATTTCCATTTCTCGATACTCTTTTTCTCGACGCTGTCGCATCGCTTCAGCATTCGCAGTCCTTTCCCTTTCCCTGTGTTCCGAGTCTGCCGCCCGTCGTTGCTGCTTGGCTTCAGCATCTGCAGTCCTTTTTCTTGCTTTTTAGCCTTCATCGGATGCTCTGCGTTTTTTCATTGCTTCCCTGTTCGCATCGTTTGCTCTCTGCTTGTAATCGTGATCCTGGCGGAGCAACCGCATGCGCTGCGCTGCTTTTTCCCGCTCTTCTTCCTCATAAGCAAGACTGCCTGGAACAATGGGAATCGCATTCACAGCGAATTCGGTGCTGCTTCCTTCTTGCGCTGTGCTGGATCGGCTCATGTCTGAAAGAAGGCTTAAAAGTAGAATTTTATCAGGAAAATCAGTCCAAAAGAATTTAGAATTGGAATTCTAATGCAAAAGTAGATTGCCAATCTCACATAATTGTCAACAAATGTATTGTTCACAGTGGTTTAAAAAAATGCGTCGGAGTTAAAGTTATTCAAATTTGGTGTAATTATGCTTCTTGGGCATGTATGCAAAAACGCATATCGTGACAACCCATGGTATGCGCGTGTTTGTGTGTTTTCGCGCGTCTGTGTGTGTCTGCACCCGTATTTCAACTCGGGATCGCGGTGCGAGCCGCCACGCACATCTAGCCCTACGTACGAACAAATGAAAATTTCGGGCCAAAATAGGCTGAAAGGCTGAATTTTTAAGGGAAT